GGCGGGGGCGAGGTCGGTCCGACGGCGGCACCCGGTCCCGAAGGGGTTAACGCCACCGATGACGCCGCGCCGAGGGCCGAGCCCACAAAGGGTTAAGTCCCCGCCGCAGAGCGCACAAGGGGTTAAAGTCCCGGCGCCTCCTCCTCCCACTTCCACGGGTGTCGCTCCGACCCGCGCGCCCAGGTCCCCAGGCCCGGCCGCAGCCTCAGCCGCGGACAGACAAACTCATCTCCCCCTGGCTCCGCTCAGTCCTCCGCCTCCTCCCTCCTCCCCTCAGACGGCTCCGCTTCCGCCTCCTCCCCGACTTCCCTCCCAACCTGCCTCTCCACCTGCCAACTTCCAACTGCTGCCTCCCAACACTCTGCGCCCCTTTTATAGAGGAGCCCGTTCACGCCGCCAGTGCGCATGTGTAACGGAGGCCCCGCCTCGGGAAGCCGGGAGTCGTAGTCTTCATCTTTCAGGCCCGCCGTCCCCGCGCGCCGTGCGACGTAGCCAATCTCAGGCCGCGTAGGGGGCGTTTCCCGGGCCACCGCCCTGCATCGCGGGCCCCTCGCTGGAGGAACGGGGGCGACCATTGGCCGAGAGTCGCGCATCACGGCGAGGGAGGACGGCCAATCGCAGAACAGAGGAGGCGGGCCCTGGACCGTACCATTCTGCCTCGGAACTCTAGGAAATTCCACAGCCTGCGTGAGCCCAAGCAGAATATTTTCATAGAAAGGTGCATTTTAAACATTATGCCGTATTCTGCCCTTAGCGGAAGGGTTCTGACGGCCCTGAACATTTGTTAATGAGAGCAAAAATGGTTCCTTCCTAAAAAGTAGTCCCTGAAGCGTGAACGAGAGTCGAGCTCACAGAGGTGTCGGTCGAGGATCCCGCGGCGCGGTGCAGGCTGGTGAGGCGTCCGCGCCCGGCCCGGCGCCGCGGAAGGATACGCCTCCGCGAGACGACGAAGCGCATGCAGAAGTAAACAAATGAAATAATAAGTGCCGCCTTAAAGGGGCAGCGTGGCTGCGCTCGGTGCCGGGCTGGCGCCTAGGCCTCGGCCGCGGGAGGCTCTCGTCCGGCCCAGGAACGTGGCCCCGGGACCTGGCGCG